ATATATATATATATATATATATATATTCCATATGGTTAAAAAAATTCCAAATGGTACGCGACTTCTGGAAAACCCCATAGGCCAGTCAAGCCGAAGAATCACTGGATGCAAATGAGTTAAATAAAAAGCCCTTTCTATGCTCAGTGGCATCGCCCATCCACAGAAAGGGGGACCCAAACCTAAAGCTCACTGCCAAATCTTTAAACTGCCTGTTGGAGAAGCACGCCAGTCGTAATTCCCCTCGGCCCTCCTGGTCGTCCATCGATCGGCGGCTGATCCCCTTTATATGGGGCATGGACTCCAAGCAGATTTACTTTCATATATTTGGCGAAACGAATATAAATGAATCTTACGTTGAACCCCGAGAAGCTTTTTATTGTTTTGTTCTTTTTGCCGTTAGCGCTGAGTTGCGATCATCGATGGCATTTTCAATTTCGGTTTTAGCTTGAGTGATTCGTCCGAGTTAAAAATCGATTGTCGATAAAACTTTAATCGGTGACCGATCGCGGTTACCAGCTGTCAAACGGTTCCACACTGGTGACCTGGCTACGGTCGAACGTCGGTCTTTATGCATCGCGGGTAAATTCATTCTGCGGTATCTGACACTCCCGACACCACCACCGCCTCATCAAGATTCACTGATTTCACGTGCGATGGAGAAGGTAACCTGAAATATCGGAAAAGCCAGCATTTTCCATTCGGGGACACTGTCACGTGCCACGTGGTACCCCGACTGATCAGAAAGGAAGATCGAAAAAATAACTAGTATTTCAATACTTAGTTCATTTTCCTTTCTAAACGGCTCATAAAAATCGATAAGAATCGATTGAACACAATTAAAAAAATAATATCCTATGTCCTTAGATACCATGAAAGTAATAACGGAAAGAAACGACAAAGAACGCAAACAGGAAATTGAGAACGAGAAAAGGCAGAAGCGGAAAGAGCGGGTGCTCGCTGAGGGATGCTGTTCGGATCGCGGCAGTTTTTGAACGTCCCCGGATCGTGCCTCACGGGTTTCCCACATCTCGCATCTGCAACGAGAGGATACGGTGACGGCAATGGCCAACTTCGTGGAGGGAATCGGTTCGGAAGTGAAACCGTACCGTTGAGACGGTAAGGGTGGAGGCGACTGGCAATCCAGGGCAGGTAGGTGGAGACGTTCATGTAGACACCGGGGTGTCGAGACTTTCCGCAGTCGACTCCGTACGAGACGATCCCCACTTGGACCCATTTTCCTCGCTGGAGGACGTGCAAGGGCCCACCAGAATCCCCCTAGAGAGGCAATAACGACACATTAACATTCAAGCCCCAGCGAAAAACATCACAAGAGTAATTGCCATACCTGACACGAGTCCCTCCCTCCACTCCACGGATCCCCAGCACAAATATGATCATACGTTATCCCCCCATACATGAAGTAGCACTCCTCATGCGGAAAAACCTCCACATTCACTTGCTGGAGTATGGGAGGCTGCTGCTCCCCTCCCAAATGCGGCACTCCCCAACCTGCGAGACACCAAAGGCTTTCGGAGCCCCATCGCCATCAACTCCCCCCTTCCCACTCTTTCTTGGGTCTGTCCACGGGCGACGTCCAAAAGAAAACAGACTGTCGATAATCATTTCTGGCATTAATTATTTCCAGCCCGTTTTCTGCTTTCCTTTTACCATAACCAATAACGTATTCCGGCCTCTAGTCGGGGGAGTCCCGATCTTCCTTTTTTTCCCTCGTGAGTCCTGTGTCGGGCTGAGACAAAATTATGCTAGTCCAGCCCAGGAAAGGGGTTAAATACGGACCTATGAAGTTCTGTGATTGCATGCAATATTCAAATCAGCCCCCAACTCGAATTTCCTCTTGAGGACATCAGCCTCATTACGCAACTAGTTGGTTGTCGTACTGGGCGAACAAGTGCAGGCGTCTTCCCTGCATCGGTACAACTGGTAGTTTCTCAAGAATGTTTTTATGAGTGATAAATATATTTAGAAAAAAAAAGATATAGTCTCCCTACTCAACTGGAACGGGACTCAACGAGTTGCACTGATTCTTGTGCATATGTGTTTTTTGCTTTTTCGATTTAAAATTTTCATCATCAGGAAACTTTGGAACCTGGAACGAACCCGTTATGGAGAGGAATCTCTGACCTATAACGACAGCCTCGCGATTTCGGAAGTCAGCCGGTTCATCCGGAAGACAGACGGTTCTCGGTTCATCCATGCAAGAGCTATCGAGTTCGAGGATGGCCAGATCATTGTAGATGACGAACTCGGTCTCCACGTAATCGGGGTGAACGTGGACCTGCCGGATGGGAAAATCCCTGTGTTCCTTCTCCGACTGCGAATCGAAGTTATGCTCCCCGATCCTAACTTGAAAGGAATTCGGGTCTAGGCGAATCCTACCAAAAAAAGGCACTCATCACCCCTGCGGCCACAAGCACGAACCCAGAGCGCCAGAAGTACTCACCCATCGACGCAGTGAGCAGCAGTGAGAACGTGGACTGGCGTGATGAGGGACCCGCCACAAAAGGGTCTTCGAGTGAAGGCCTTCTGAAGGAGAGCAGCCATCCAGGGATATGCTCCCTGTTTCGTGTCCTTCCCTCCCGCGATCCGGCCGGAAGACGCGAGGTTACCCGTGATTGGGCAGCATATCGTCGCCCTATCCACACCATACACATGAAAATGGCCATCTCTATTCCTTGTCCGTCCAGTTTTTACAGGGTGGGCCAAACAAAACCGGAGTTTTCAACGGTATACTACACCGCAATTGCAGCATATATTTTAATGCGGTTTGCGGCATTTGAAAGGGGAATGAATCAGCTTTACAATGGTGTAGTTGCATTTAAAATATCTTCAACAGTTTCAGAAATTCGGGAGCTCATGTCAACACCAAGCAAAAATTACGTTGCCGCAGGACAGGGACGGACAGACGGAAGATGTGACCTTCATGACTGAAGGTCACATGCCGTCTCCCTCTGAGAACGCCGCAACACAGTTTTTGCGTGGTGTTCACGTGAGAACCCGAATTCATGGAACTGCTGCAGATATTTCATATGTAAACGCGTCATTTTAAAGCTTATTCATTCCTCTTTCAAATGTCGCAAACCGCGTTAAAATATCTGCAGTGCGTGAAGTGTGGCATACCGTTGTCTGGAGTTTTTTTTTTTTGGTCGACCCTGTAGAAATAAATTCCCGAGGAGATAAGACCTGTGTTCGACGTGGAAGCAGGCCTGTCGTCTCCGCGTCGATTCCGAGCCGGGAAAGCTCCGAAAACACTCGCCTTCCGCTCGACAGCGACCGGGCTCCCCATCGAACGTGCACGATTCGGTCTCCTCTCTCCTCTGTATCACAGGAAACCACGCTTACTACTCGTCGTCAATAAGGGACGTTTCAGGTGGTTACAGGGACATTTCAGGTGGTTACAGGGACATTTCAGGTGGTTTACGGGAGGCCGGAGCCTTTACGAACCTGGATGACGGATCCAAACACGACGGTGACCAAAAATGCCAGGCACAAGGGAGAGCCCATCGTGAATCATGAACACCGCCGTCACAGCATTTTTGTATCTGCGTGCACGCTCCGCGTTCAATCCTGTCTCTACGGGGGAGGCTCGCTGCAAAGGCGTTCAAGCTGATAACCTTCATCTCTATCTCCGATATTTACCGCTGACGTCACCGATAAAGAGACGGGACTGCCACGTAAGTACCACGGGTAGTCCCTTTGTCCGGATCAGGCCATTAACGGTCCCGAAAAAGGAGACGGCCCCCATTTAATTGCCTCGTCTGGCTGGACTAAAAGAAAAGGGGGACATTTAAATCGCCTGCTCTTGACATAGAAGAGAGCAGAAACTGATGGAATATTGGTGTTCATCAATTCCATCATATTTATGCAGAAAAACGAGAGAATTTCCGCCAAAAGAATAGCGGAAGTTTCTCAACTTTCAAGTAGAGAAATTACCAATTGGCATTAGAATTCACGGTTTATGCAGAATATGGACCCAACTGTTGCGCATGAAGTGACACGCCCGCACCTCTTTTTATTTTTCCTTTTTATTTTAAGTTTCGGAGTCGATAAATGCTGACAGATGCATTTGGGCTATGCAGCTTCCACAAATCTCAGAGAAAGGCTCGATACGAACACCAACATTTCCTCGAGCCCTCTCTGACCTCGGAATTTTTTTTGCATTCGGGGAAATGATCTCGATGAATGGCCCCATGGCCGTCACCAGTGGAGATCATTCTAAGGAGAATTTTCGGTATTTGTTGCGGGTCAGGGCCCAAGGGTTGGGCACCAACGACCTAGAGAACGATCTCCAGTTAGGAGTCTTCTTTTATCGACGGTCTGAATTTAAAGATAAGCGTTCATTGGATGATCCTTGGATGATCCTTGGATGATCCTTGAAGTACAGTACGACTCCCGTGCACGATGAACTAAATCATGGGCATGCGTTTGGAAAACGCAAATTTATTTACAATCTATGGAATGAATCGAGATGGAAACTGGCATACCAGCAACCTTGTCGGTTTCCGTCTCGGCGCAGTTCGCTGCGTGACTGCCTTGGCGTTGGCAGCAGCCCGTTCGTCTTTGCCTGGCGGTCACGGCGTGCATGGTCTTTGCCTGGCGGTCACGGTGTGCATGGTCTTTGCCTGCGTGGTACGAGCAGGTGTCTGTTCCTGATTTATGTTCACCTATTCGGTGTCCGTAATGGGGGCATTTGAAGCATCGAATGATACGTGGTCGGAGGACGAACCCTTCAACTCGTACTCGCAAACAGCCGATTTTCATGGCGCCTTCCTCTGAGATTTCGCGCATTGGGAGAGTTATTGCCTCGATCGAGAGAAGTGGGAGAGGCCCGCCTTTTTTTTGGTTTTTCGCATTCTGGCGATTCCGTTCTCTACGAACGAAATTCCATATTCGAGGGCGAGAACGTCTCTAATGACGAATTTGCATCGCGAGGTCGCGGATCCCCGATTCGGGTCATTTGCTGGCGACGCGGGCAACGTCCGAAGGTTTCGCAAGGCTGAGGACAGAGCCTGCGGAGCGAGTTTGCTTGACGTCGAGCAACTGGACCTTAGGAAAGGCGTGAACGAATGTTATCCTCTTGATATTTCGGGGGGAGAGAATTCACAAAAAGGGGGGTTCGAAAAAGAGAGCTGCTAGTGACTGTCTGAAGTTGACTGGTGATTTGCTACTGTGCAGGGAGGAGTTTGCAGGCGGGGGGAAGGGGAAAAGCAGGGAGCTGCGTTCGGATTAGGAGCGTTTTTGAGGGAGCGAATGGATTCGGAGGCGAAGGACAGGTTTGGAGTTTGGCATGGGAAGAAGGAGGAAGAAGAAGGAGGGCTGACGTTTCGGCCGAGGGGGTGTAGGCACCGTGGGGGGGGGGGGGGGGACCGAGTCTTCCTCTGGGCATTCTGTGCATGGTGAGAGGAGGAAGATTTAAGGAGAGAGTCTGACGAACAGAGAGCAGAGGCTAGAAAAAGGAGTGAGAAGAGAGAGTGAGAATGAGTCAACAGTGAGAGAATGTCTTTACAAATACAATTCTGAAATGGAGAGGGCAAAGGGAATTTCGCGCTGCCTGAACAACGGGCCCCGGCATCAGGGGTGAGGAAAAGTCAGTTGAATGCCTGGGAGTAGACACCGCTCTGTCGTCTTTCCTTTCCTTTAAGGATTACCTTAAGTACAGGATTCATATAGGGAGTATCAGCTTGTTACAGCCTGGGCTCCGTGAATTTGTCTCGAATATGTGGATAATAAACGATGAAGCGTCCGCGTTTATTGATTTCTATAATGAGATTAGTGCCTTACCATATGTCTCGCCTAAACAATCCTGCGAGGGACGTTTCCAAGGAAAAAGGGTTTGTGTTCTGTGCGAAAAGCGTGACACCCCCCCCCCCATCAAGTGGCATGGAGGAGAACGTCTAAAGTTCTCAAAGTTCTTGATAGTTCAAGTTCGACTTAAGCAAATTGGATCCTCGCGGTCATTTTTGAGCTACGCATCTCATGATCAAAATGATACGTACGGTTCTCATCGAAGCCTCAAATCATTTCCAGAAGTTTTCACTGATCGTCAGTCGGATTGCAACCGTCTCTTTCGGTCGGTCAAGGTGTCGTTGAACTTCTGGGCTTCCAGCTCGACAAAAGAGGAAAATACGTTTCGTCTCATTTGAGGCTGAAACCAGTTATTGTAAAAACTATTCTTGCCATAATTAAAACCCAACGTTCACGGGTAGCGTCGAATAGTAAACGAAATATGATTACCTCTCACATGGACTCCGTTGATTTCCTGTCGCTTCCATCAAGGAATAAATATCTCTCCTCCGGTGATGCATCACAAAAACAGCAATGACTTATGTAAAAATTGGCACGGATTCATTTTCTAAACAAACCACGCTCTTGTTTTATAAACGGCCTAGGGTCAACCTATTTCAGCCAAACCTCGCCAGTTCTATGCTAGATGGCATACTGAGAAATGCTTATCCTTTCGACTTGGCCTTTTATATTTGATTCAAGCTCACGAACGTGTAATAGGCCGAAGCCCTCTTCAATCCTATGAAATCTCGTCTACAGGCCCAAGCTCCCTGAAAATGTTTGTTTTGTTACACTTTCATTCTTTCAATGCAATTCACTCCGGGGGGGAATGAATTGCATTGAGCAACAGGGGGAAGCCATCTTCTGTTCCACGATTTTCGACGAATCATGCTCAACTATTTGTTTCGAGACATCAGAAGCATCGGACGAGAGAGCTGCAGCGACCAGTGTTGCTCTGAGAATTGTATGAGAAACTCGCCATCGAACCTACAATTTGCGATTGGGACTTTTGGCAGGACAGGGCATTAGTGTAATTAATTTTGGCACTTTCCTCTTGACGTTCATTCAGATTCCCTTTATTTCTTGCTTTTAATCTTCCCCAGACAATAACATTAACGAAGACGGTGCAGAATGTCCGTGGTCCATGGTCCATGGTCCATGGTCCGACTTTGAAAGAGAGCATTAACTCCATTAACACTTTGACCGCCATGACAATGCTGGCCCATCGATTTTCCCATTCAGCGAGGCGCGCCTGGTGGCGCCTGTTAAAAGAATGTCCGTGTATGAAACCTCTATATCAAGTATTGCATATGCTGAAAACTTTTTATGCCGAATGTTATCGGGTCGAAAGAGCCATGCCATGCATACTATGGTTGGGAAAAAAAAAAGAAAATTACCGAAAAAAAAACTAATCGAAAATTGTTACATGGGAGGAGACATTTCAGATGACTCGTGCCATCAATGTAATTGCTTTAAAATAAATCGCTCATTTGCATTCCAGTAGGATCAGAAAATTTAGGCAACGCCTATTTTATGGGGATAGAACTGGTTCTTCTGAAACCCTTTTGCGATTGATGCCTTAAAGGAGAATTTTTCCCATTGCAGAAAAAATTTCCGTCTGAAAGAGAATAAATAATAAATAAATAAATTTCGACCATTTAATATTTCGTATTGCCTGAAGTACCAATCCAACTCTGTTGACCGTGATTTTCAGTTCAGTTTAAGATTCAAAGTTTAAGACTTTGAATGTAAGAATGTAACACTGCAAGTGTTTATGTTTTCCTTTCAGCATTGAAGCAAAAAATTCCCGCGATTTGAAGGGAAACGGTTAAGGGCAGGCTCCTTTGTTCATTCGATGAGACAAACTTGATTTAAGTGCCCAAGTGAAGAGGGGGAAGAGAGTGTGCAATTCCAGGAGATTTGCCGATTGCACGCAATGAACCTTGTGAGATGCTGAGAATGGGATCCACTTTCTCGAAACTCTTGCGAACGAGCTGAAAATGTGTTGAAGCAATTTTGTCCAAAGGATGAGGAACGGATTCGGTCTCGTTCCTTTTATTGGCCTCAGAGGAACACGAAAAGGCAGAATTAAACTATTAGGCAGAATTAAACTATTAGGCGCAATTATCGCCGAGCACGTCCCAACTTGACTGCGTTTTGTGAGTGTTGCTTAAGCCTGAATTACCGCTTAACAACAATTCTTCATGGAGAAGAGGTCGGCTGGAGAGTCGAGAAAATGAGAAATCCACTAAATCCTCACTAACTCTTCTCATGACTTTTGACAGATTCAAGCTGATAATTTTCATCGAGGTCACGTGTTTAAATGATGGGCGATCGGGATTATCCTCGGTGGTCTTCGTGAAATGCCCGATGATGTAACATAGCACCTCCCTCAACTGAGTATTCCAACCGGTCCATTTACCGAAATTGCAGGTGAAGTCATGAAATGTAATAATTAGTTGCATGTTGGCAACAGTCAAGAACAAAACGGCATTATATGAACAAGACGCATCTGATGGGACATTGTATACCTGTTTCAGGCGATAGGAGATTCATTTCCGTTTTCCGACTACGTCCACAGATAAAATATAGGGTCATCAGTTTTACTGAGCCCCAGTCCGATGGAATGACGATATAAGTGTTCGAGGTCTCAACAAGAATAGATACGTTATCAGTGTAAGAAGCGGAGCAATCGTGTCAGGATGTATTCTCTTTGGTTTCTAGGATTCTTCATCGTGCACGTACTCGCATCAAAATCCCAGGTTCGTTCCTAGCATGTCGGTCTGGAAACTCCGGGCTCGAAAGTCGAGAATAAGCGCGATGGTGTTCAACTGCCACAGAGAAATGAAGAATCCGAGTTCTGTATTTATAATGGGGAGCCTGGTCTCTGCGAAGCGGAAGATGCGTGCTCCCAGAGAATCGCCGGCTCGGAATTGCCCCAGAGACGCCAAGCCTGTTTCCACGTCAGAGACAGGTCTCTTCTCTCTGCCGTATTTATAATAAAAAAAGTGAGGAATGCACACGTCAGTTTCTTGTATTTGACGGGAAAAGGGCGACGATATGCTGCCCGACGAGGGGAAGCCTCTCGTCCTCGGGCCGGATCGTGGGAGGGGAAGACACAGAACCAGGGGAATATGCCTGGATGGCTGCTCTGATAAAAAAATCTTCCACTCCACCCTCTTCCACCCAAAGTCCTTTCTGTGGCGGGTCTCTCATTTCCCCCGGTCATGTTCTCACTGCTGCTACATGTGTTCGAGAGTGTGTCATCCATTACCATTCCACGTGATGTTTGTGCCGATAATGATCACGTTGATTAGCCCTCTCTTCACAGAGATCGACAGGACCCGAGTTCCTTTCTGGTCCGAATCGGAGAGCACGACTTCGCGAATACGTCAGAGACAGAGCATCGAGATTTCAACGTCGCACGAATCCACATTCATCCCAATTTCACGGAAAGGAGTTGGGGCTTATATAATGATCTGGCAATTCTCGAACTGGATAATCCATCCGAGGATGAACCTGCGACTGTCTGCCTGCCCAAAAAAGCAGGAGAATTCAAGGGTTGCGGGGCCGTTGTCACTGGTAAGGAATTCATATCCTCATGCTTTAATAATGGCAAGCGGCTAGTCTTCAATGAAACGGTGGTTTAGATTTAAAAAAAAATTGCGAGAGCAAGAAATAGTCGAGTTAGGCACCAAACGAGCTCTAATGAGCACCCAATTCCACATGAACGGCGTTCATTAGTCGATTGAAAGAGGAGGAAAATGACGATTGCGAGGAGGAGAGGCGGAAGATCATGCGAAAACGATCCGAAACGCCGAAAGAGTGTATTTGCGTGCGTTATACAGGTTGGGGGGTGACGCAAGAGGGAGAAATGACTCAACCACTTATCCTCCAACAAGTCCGCGTCGACGTCTACTCGCAAGAAAAGTGCCGAGAGAGCTACCAAGGCATCACGAATACTCATCTCTGTGCGGGGGACGAGAACGGAGAGAAGGATTCTTGCCAGGTGAGGAGATCTAGAGGTTCGTTAGCCTCTCGCCGATTGGATCTTGAATTTTATCATGATGTCCTCGTCCGTATAGGGAGACACGGGTGGACCCTTGCTCGTCGGCCTCGAAGGGAAATGGGTCCAAGTTGGGATCGTGTCTTACGGAATCGGCTGCGCGTGGCCTGGATATCCCGGAGTCTACGCGAATGTCTCCTCTCACTTGCCTTGGATCGCCGGTCAACTTGGGCCGTACACTCTTAATGGTACCGGTTGAAACACCTTGATGATTGCTGTCCGTGGTGACGCTGGCCGTCTTCATGATTTCTTTGCAGGTGGGTGCGGAGCGTCGGAGAAGAATTCTTCGATCTTGGACAGCTGTCCGAAATCGTCAGCCGCTTTCCACCGGCTTTCAATTTTTCAGTATTTCCCGCTTCTCTTTGTTTTCCTGAATTAATCCGCTGTTTCGTTCCGTCCGCATTTCATCTCTGATTGATGATGAAAATGAATAAAGGAATGAACCGTTAATTATATTTCCCGCATCTGTCTCACTGATCAGTTGACACCTCACGTGAGAAAATGCAGTTGCAATTTTTAGGCTTCGAAGTGTTGTCGAACACGACCGAAATCTTAAAATGAACATGTAGGAGTAACACGGCATTAACATACCGAATAAGTTCATAAATATTTTTAATGAAAGTTCATAAAAAAATTTATGAACTGGTTCGCATCGCCCCGTGTCCTTCTGCGTAGCCTAAGGCCTGCTAAGGCATAGGCTTGCAGGCCTCTTGCGTTGTGCTGCGGTTGCCGAATTCTCGGTGAAACAGGGAGGATAGGTCACTCGATGGGGAAGGGTTTACCCCCGATTGCATTTTCATTGACAAGTACGTTAGACGGTTCATTGGCTTTGCCGGTGTCGACGTTTAAGTTCACTACGCAACCTCTGGCCTTGCTAATCCACTGACGTGGGACTTCATTCCCCATTCGCCTCTTTTGATTGGTATATACTGTTTCCAATGAAATCGTCCCATTGTGCATGAACGCCTCATCGATATAGCCAAATACGGCTCAATATTGGATTCTAATTTTTCTTTCAGATGATCAGCCACTGAGCATTTGTATGGAGTATACCTCCGGGAACTTGATAACATATTTTATGGATATAAACATTCCAGATGTGGCTGTACTCCCAAAGCTTATCATCAGTCCAATATATTTTTTTATTGCTATTTTATGACACCCACGAGTAAGATTATAGCCATGAGAATTCCTATTTATCCCCGAATTGCGACCGCGTACACGGACTCCCGTCCCTCACGAAGCCAAGCGTTGAAGCGGTGCCAGGAGTTTAAGGAAACGCGAGTCCCTCAAAGGGACAAGGGGAGGCCCGGCCAGGCACTGTCTCGATGCCCGCGAGAACTCGCTGCGACCGTTTGCACGAATGAAAAATGTTCGATTTCACGCACGAGCAGTCGGGGCGCCGCAAGGTTCGTGCCGAATGGGTTCCGAAACGACCGGCGAGCGAACAGAGGGCGCTGCGAATGGGACTCGGTCTCGAGCATCTGCGACGATACCGTACGGAAGGTAAAGAGTTTCTTCAACTGATTTTTTTAAAAAATATTATACCCTATCGTCAGGCGGGGTTCAGAGAAGGTAGATTTGCTCTGCGGACTGTTCATCGGGTGATAATGCATCTTTGTGACATAATCCATATTAAGTATTCCACTAGAACATTCCTTCGACTGGAAATTTCCTCGAATTAACTTTAGAACAATAAATTCGCAGGTTGGAAGTGCTAAGGTCACTTTCTCGGGACTTTGTCATTGGTTGATTAAAAGGATGTCAAGTTGAGGATAAAAGAATATCAAGTTGAATGCAGACAAGGATCATGAATACGGAGTATAGTGTATGCTTGTGTATTAAAATATTTCAGTCAGGTTTAAGTACGACGCGGAGTGAGAGTAATTAAGATGCTTGGAGTTCCAAGTTGTGCGAGGTGTAGGATTCAAAATCCCTTTTCTCGTATTCCACGATGATGTCCTTTGTTTACTTTGCAGGGACTCTGTAGACCTTGCGTCCCGCTGGAGGTCGCTGGATCTTGAGCTCGCTTGAGCTTTGTTCGGGTCGTCGATGAACTTGCGACGAGGGAAGTGGTGCCATCCCTCGATGGAGGTCCATTCACAATTATTTTACATAACTCAGACGACTAACATCTGTGTTAACACTAATAATGGTTAGACACGAGTCCAAAGCAAGTTCTTTTATTCTCCAGCACCTAGCCGAGATCAAAATATGTCCCATTCTCCGGCTACCTAAATCCTCATCTGCTCGCACTCCTGCTTTAATTTCCATTCCTTCATTTGCAAGATTCGCATCTTGATCTCGTGTTCCTTTTGGGCCACTACCAGCAATGGCCATCGAAATCCGCTTTTTCTCTTTTTTTTTGCCTTTGGCAGACTTTGTTTTGGGTCAAGATTTTCACTCGATGTCTGCACTAATCTCTCTGAAGAAGTAATGGCAAGAATTTTCAAAACCCTCGTTGACATAGGTGTAACTAAAATGCCTTTTCGGGGAATCTTAGGAAAATCGACGATTGGCTGTGCAAATTTAGGACAAAACGGCCCTGGACATAATGGCCCCACATACTAGAAAGCCAGCTCCTTTGAATAAGCAATAATTCTTCCCTCTCAGATGTTTATATGCTTTTCAAATTCTGTCGGATGCATAATAGTAAACTTCAAAGATGCTTGAATCACTAAATGAAATTACTAATTCATTAAAATAATTATAATTCACAAAGAAAATTATTCAATGAATGCAATTTTATTTGAAGTGCAACAAATACTATAATCGGATGGCGTGACCATGGCATCATTTAAATCCCTCTCCGTACTGGGTGCAAAGGGTTATCAGCCTCGGGTGCAAAGTGTTCTCAGCCTCTGATACGTTTCCTTGTATACCCGCTTCTGCCTCCTCTTGGCGGGATTCCCCGCAGTTTCCTGCAAAATTGCGGCCGACACTAAAGCCTGCTGTGCCTGGAGCACGTCGATGGCTTTCCAAGTAGTTGGATGTTGGTGGCCGACCATGCTGGAAAACTTCATTCGAAATCGTCCATTGTGCATGAACGCCTCATCGATATGGCCAAATGTGGCTCAATATTGGATTCTACTTTTTCTATCAAATGGATCAGCCACTGGCTATTTGTACGGAGTATATCTCCGGGAACTTGATGCGCGTTGTCCGAGAAGCAGAGGAACTGACATATTTTGATGACATAAAATCATTTTGATGACATATTTTGATGACATAAAATCATTTTGATGACATATTTTAATGACATAAAATCATTTTGATGACAAAATCATTTTGATGACATATTTTGATGTGATGACATATTTTAGGGATATAAACATCCCAGATGTGGCTGTACTCCCAAAGCTTATCATCAGTCCAATATATTTTTATAATTGTAGGCTATTTTATGACACCCATGAGCAAGATTATAGCCATGAGAATTAATATTTCTGTCACAGATATCTGAAATGTCTCTAAAGCTCTGCCGAGAAAATACATGGAGAGTTATATTTGTTTTCAATGGCCGAACATGCTGGAAAACTTCTTGTTCCAGCCCTCGGAGTGGTTCTTGGTTCCCGCGTTATCATTCGGCGTAGCCTCGTACATGTTCCAGACAGACGATGGAAACTTGGGCGCACACTTCCTTGTGATGTGTGATTCTCGCCGAAAGGTGCCATTCACGGGAGTTCCATCAAAGTATGATGCCGAACGAACCTGTTCCAACTTCCAGGGACTTGCCCTCGCTCTCCGAATCAAATGGTTTGGGAAGTGGAGCTTTTGGCATGAAGAGGGAGCACAACGTCCTTGATGTAATTGCTCATCTCATCCGTTTCAGGTGGCTTCTCTCCTCATCCGTTTCAGGTGGCTTCTCTCCTCCGCCACTTTGCGCTGCTGATCTCGAGTAGTCTTGAGCCTGTTCCGCAGCCCCTTCAATTGGTCAAGGGGGATCGGATGTTTCCACTGGGGCACGAGGAATTTTAAGCGAATGTAGCTATGAAACCATTCGTGGAAAATGTCCGATCTTAAGGTCTTAAATGCCAGATGGCCTTTTATAGGCGATCGCCCATGGTTTCCTTAGAGTAAGTATAAGATGAATCCAGGATTTTCCCGCCTCGTTATACACTCACAAATGATAAACTTACTTTTCAGACTTCCGACCTGTCTGTGTATGCAAAAAAAATCTTCGAGCACACCCCTGATGTAATGCAGAATAGGGTGGAAGAGACCTCATCGTAAAACTCGAGAAATCGGAAATGAACGAATAATTTTGATTAGACCGCTGTTATCCGCATCGTAGCAATTCAGCCGACACGGCACGAGCGACCTGTATCGTGGCAATTCAGCCGACACGGCACGAGCGACCTGTATCGTGGCAATTCAGCCGACACGGCACGAGCGACCTGTATCGTGGCAATTCAGCCGACACGGAACGAGCGACCTGTATCGTGGCAATTCAGCCGACACGGCACGAGCGACCTGTATCGTGGCAGTTCAGCCGACACGGCACGAGCGACCTGTATCGTGTTGTGATTCCTCCAACGACGAAGGCTATCAAGCACACGCGCGAGGGTTTCTCTTACGATTGCAGCGAATGAGGTGAATGCAATGAATGAATGACTGCGCGAATGAGGTCCAGGGACCTTGGCGAGGCCCGGGGACCCTGGTGAGGCCCGGGGACCTTGGCGTTGCTGGATGTTAAGCTTGGGGCACGTGGGATATCGTCCAGGTAGAATATTAGCATTTTTCTATGCGTGATCGGTTTGATTTGAGATCATTATCATCGTTCATTCTAATAAATATTTATAACAGACATGAAACAACTAACATGTGTTCACTTGCGCACTCACGGCTTGGTAATCTACCCGAAGGATCTTCCGCATACCGGGTCGGATCGAATCGGTCGTGGGTCTCCAGTACTTTGTGAAGAAAGCAGGAAGTTAGGACAATTGACGGTAAAGATTATTAAAATAAAAAATACGTTGACACGTCAACTTCCAAAAGTACGCTCGACTGCAGCCGAGTTTCCTGTTAAAATTTTTGTCGTGCTGGAGCAAAGTTTCCATCTCGGGAAATGGTAGCATGAGCCTTTTCTGTAAGGGAAGCGCAGAATTTCCCCTCTCTCCAACTCCTCGCATCCTGGCCGCATCCTGGACGCATCCTGGCCGCTCCACGTGGATGTCGTGGAAGATTTGATCGTCGCAA